TATCAACAGAGGCATAACATCCAAATCACAAGATGACAGGGGTCATTTCCTGCGGGAACGCACAGGAGCGGAGCTCCGGCAGTAAGGAACCCAGGGGGCGGGCATATGCAATAAGCCCCGCCCCCTGCTCCCAGCAGCCCTCAGTTGGGCCACAAGGAGCAAGAAGCAGCCAGGTAAGTTGCAGAGGGCCCCCTCCCGGCCTGCCTTCAGGTACAAGCTCTCCCTCGTCTGTGAGGGCAGATCTGTGCACACCCCCCCCCAAATAGCTAGCAATCCAAAACAGTCCAGTGGAGCCTGAGCGGTGGGTGTTGCCTTCTGACACACTTCCGGTGATGTCAGGGGGTGTGGCATATGCAAATAAGTTACACTGATAAGTTATGCTAATGAGCTCCTGCACCTCTTTTTCTACGAAATGACCCCTGCAAGATGTTATAGTCCTGCTGTATGTTGCATTGGTCAGGCTGAACCTGGAGTATTGCGTGCAGTTCTGGAGGCCTCCCTTCAGAAAGGATGTAGACAGAATGGAGCGGGTGCAGGGAAGAGTGACGAGGATGATTTTGGGCCTGGAGATGAAGCCCCATAGGAAAAGGCTGAGGAACTTGGGAAAGTTTAGTCTGGAGAAGATGAGATTGAGTGGGGACATGATTGCTCTCTTTAAGTGTTTGAAGGGCTGTCACTTAGAGGAGGGCAGGGATCTGCTCCTGTTGGCAGCAGAGGGTAGGACTCACAATAATGGGTTTAAATTAAGGGCGGGAAGGTACCAGCTGGATATTAGGAAAAACTTTTTTACAGTAAGAGTTGTGCAGCAGTGGAATCAGCTGCCTAGGGAGGTGGTGAGCTCCCCCTCACTGGCGGTCTTTAAGCAGTATCTGGACAAACACTTGTCAGGGATGCTCTAGGTTGATCCTGCATTGAGCAGGCGGTTGGACTAGATGGCCTCTTGAAACTGACATGACTAGTTTGAAACTGATAATAATGTTTCCAAGGCTGGAGAATTCCACCCCCTGTTGCTTTGAAGTTCGGTAAACATTTTGTTTGAGCAGGGATAATCTGTCTGGAAATGTATCCATTCACCAACCCACAGGAACCTACAGGAACTGCTTGAAAGCTCGTGGAAAGTTTGTGCGAGTTGATCTGCCACAAAGTCCAGTTTGTAAACCTTGAAGTGGCCAAAATTCATCACAGACTTTATTTCATAAGGTAGTTTGTGCCTATCCCTAAACACTAGCAGTGCACTCCTCAGCAGAGTTACACCCATCTAATTCCACTGAAGTTAGTGGTGTAATTCTGTTTAGGATTGCACTGTAAAAGATATATGGTGAGATGTGGCATAGAGTAAAGGGGAGACATAATTTCAGTGAGTCTACATGTTACTGTGGCGTGGATCCAGGTGGCCACATCTGCTGTAGAAGAAGAAGAAGAGATTGGATTTATACCCCGCCCTTCACTACCCAAAGGTGTCTCAGAGCGGCTTACAAACTCCTTTCCCTTCCCCTCCTCACAACAGACACCCCGTGAGGTGGGTGGGGCTGAGAGAGCTCTGACAGAAACTGCTCTTTTTCAAGAACAGCTGTGCCAGAACTATGGCTTGCCCAAGGTCATCCAGCCAGGTGTAAGTGGAGGAGTGGGGAATCAAACACGGTTCTCCCAGATTAGAGTCCATTCACTTAACCACTACACCAGTTTGGCCGTCTAATGGGCAATAATGTTGGATCCAGTATAACCCCAAGATTTTTAACTGAGTCAGCAAGGGTCAGCTGAACACCATTAAAAGTGGAGAGCATAATACCCTTCAAGTTCTCTGCTTTCCCAACCAGAATTACCTCTGTCTTTTCAGGGTTTAGTTTCAGTTTGTTCATGCTTAGCCAATTAACCACAGCAGCCAGACAGCTATTCAAGACTTCCACCTGGCTATCCACCTGGAGAAATAGATAGGGATATACAGAGCTAGGTATTGTCAGCATGGCTTGACCTGGACAGCACAGGCTAGCCTGATCTCATTAGAGCCTGGAAGCTAAGCAGGGCTGGCCTTGGTCAGTATTTGGATGGGAAACCATCACGGAATGCAGGGGTTGCTATGCAGAGGCAGGCAATGGCAAACCACCCCTGAATGTCTTTTGCCTGGAAAACCCTAGAGGGTCTCCATAAGTCAGCTGTCACTTGACACCAAAGAAAAATATCAACATATTGATGACAACCAACCCCAAAACTATGGATGATTTGTCCTAAGGGCTTTACATAGAGACTGAAATCATGGGGGAATCAGATTGCACCATGTGAAACCCTACGGAATAGGCCCCACACTGATAACTGGTTTCCAGCAGCAACCCTGTGAGTGTGATCTGAGAGGAATTATTTAAACCAGTTCAATACACATCCTGATACCTACTTCTACCAGGCTCCGAGTACCTCAAAAGATGGCATGATCCACTGTACCAAAGGCTGCAGATAAATCCAATAAGAGTAACAAAGAGTAACATGTCCTTTGTATACACTCAGATGTTGGTAATCATCTAAAACTAGCAGAGCTATCTCTGTCTCATAACTTGGCTTGAAATCAGACTGAAACGGGTCCAGCACAGATGAATTATCCAAAAAGACCTGGAGTTGGTCTGCTACTGCTCCCAATTGCTTTGTCCTGAAAGTGCTTAGGAGAGTTGTGATGGACTGCAAACTTAGAATCTCAAGCTGTACCATGGCTAGGATTGTCAAGTCTGGCAAGCATTGGAGATGGGGACATTGGGGTGGAGCACTGCCAGGAAACCTGAAAGTCAATGATCTCTAGGAACATCCAGAAATCCTGTGATATTACCATAGAGTTGCCAGCAATTTCTAGAAATCATTTCCAGGTTCTCCCAGTGGTAGCAGGAAATAGGAGCTGGGAGCAAGGCATCCCCTGACCCCACCAGAGGCTCAACAGGATTAACCGTGGCTGTATAGGCATGGTGGGAGGCTGGCATGGAGTTTTTGTTTTTTCACTTCCCTTGAGTTCAGTGGGAATTTGTATACCTCACTAGGTGTCCCCCCCCCCCTCCCGGTATACTGTTATGGTGGCAGTGGGGATGAGATGTGAGCTGAAGGATCCTAGACCCAACTAAGCCACAGTCCTCCCCAGCACACTCTCTAAAGTGCCCATTTCTGGTTCTTCTACACTGTTGCTAGATTTATTGTCAATAAGCACAATGCTAGCTGCAGATAAGCTTGTGCATCTCCATGTTATGCCAGCATAGTTGCTATCCATGGCACAGCCATGTGTTGTTAATGAAAAGGTATGCATTTCCCTGCAGTTAAAAACCAGTGGCGCAAATCTCAAGAGGAGATAAAGGATTTGGAGACAAGAAATGATGAAGTGTTGTACAACTTAAAAATCCTGTATTAATTATTATTTTAGAAGCTGATGTTCATTGGCAGGAGGCAAACAATAGCAAAACACCATGAAGTGAAATTAAAATAGAAACCAAGAGAAACCAAGTGGTGGTGTATTTGATCCTTGGGGTGTATCTTCACAAACTTACACCAGTTTTATACCAAGTAAATATTTTATCCCCCACCTTGGGAAAAAAGGGTTTATGGTAACTGTAGTTTTATTAAAGTGGTGAGCATTCTACTTGAATTCCCTAACTTCCTTCCAAAGACTACAGTTTCCAGTCTAAGCAGTTACACCCTTTCTAAGCCCACTGACTTCAGTGGGCTCAGAAGGATGTAACTGATTAGGATAGCACTACTAAAGAAGTTTAATTTTATAGCGTAGATTTATTGTCTGATTAAATCAGCTGGCCACAATCCAAAACATTGTTAAGCATGAGTTAACTCTTTGATGTTAAAGATCTTAAGTGACTCTAACTGTATATGAGACCATGGTTACAGCTGGAGTTGACATCTTCAGTTCAGAGGTGAAATGGTGTCCAGTACAGTTAAGGATAAAATTGGTCTATGAGACACTCTTGGTGATGAATACTGATGAATTGTTGGCTAACGTTCAAGAAATATATTCACTGGGGAAGAAGTTACTGTGTTTTGTTTTTGAACTTCCAGTTCAGTAATTCTGCGGCAGCTCAGATCCACACATGTCCTGGCTGCCTACCTCCATGAATTTTCACATTCTCAGACTCATGCAATGCAAACCTAAACACAGTTACACCCTTCTTAAGTTCACTGACTTTGATGGACTTAGAGAAGCGTAACTCTCTGTGGGATGGCACTGTTAGTCACTCTGCCCCACATTCTCAGAAGTCACACACATTCAATATTTCTTATTGATAATGTACACAGCATGTGCAATAAATATTTCCATGCATGTAGATTCCCATATACAGATATGCAGATGTAGATCCACAAGTTTCTCAAGATGAAGATGGGATCAAATGCTAACACTGGCCAATTGAGTCCTACACAAACATTTTTTGGCATTCGGAAATATTTTGAAAAATGAATTGTTTTAAATGTGCTTTAAATATCATTGGCCATCGGCTGTATAAGAACACAATGAGTTTTGCTGGCATGTACTTTTTGCGTATGACCACGTGGGAAGGGGAGACAGCCGCAGACATTTCTTTCTGGTTTACCTTAAGACTGTGTGTTGGGTTCCACTCTGCACACTAGCTCTTTCCAGAGGCTGGCATCACATGTGCTCTTGATAGCCTGTGTGCCTTACAGGGGAAAAAAAGCACCAACTTGTTTCCTTAAGACACATTTCTGAGAATGGGGGTCCTGTGCCTGCTCCTTTCTTTCCCCCACTGGGCTGTGAAGAGATCATTTGTGTCAAAAAGCAAACACCCAAACCGAGACGCTAAGAAATAGAGCCGCTTTTCTGACAAGCCCTACCTTGCCACACCCCCCTGAACAATCCTCGGCGTCTCCCCTCCCCCCCCCCCCCCTTTCCTCTCGCAATCTCTGTACAGTGTGGGGAAGTCGCCGGGTAATTGGGTCCAGATTGGATAGGCTTAAATATTCATGAGGCTGGCAGAGGACGGCGAGGGGGTGGCTGCCTGGATGGTGGTGGTAAGGGCGGGGGGCGGGGAAGTGACTAGTCCCCGAGAGCTGCCAGTGAACAATTCTGGGAAAGAGCGGGCGAGGGGGAGCGCGAGGCAGAGGGGGAGCATGTGCGCTGAGGAATAGCTGTGGACCTTCCAGTCACTGCGAACTGCCCTGTCGTGTGTGTGTGTGTGTGCGTGTGCGTGTGCCCGCGAGTGAGAGGAAGAGGGAGGGGAGGGAGTGGAGAGGGTGGGGGGAGAGATAAGAGAGAGAGAGGGAGAGAGGAGGAAAAAGGAGAGAGGAGAAGGAAGGAAGGAACAACAAGGAAGAAAGGGACTATACAACCATGCTGTGCTGTATGAGAAGAACAAAACAGGTAGAGCTGGAGATTTTTTATACTTTCTTGCCGCTGGGAAATTCCTAGAATCTTGGGGGGGGGGGGGGGGGGCGTGTTGAGAGAGAGGTGTGCAGGCAGCGGAGGGAGGCTTTCAGCGGCTTCTCAGCCGCGGTGTTTTTTTGCAATTTCGTGTGTGTGTTTGTTTAAAGCATCTTTCCCACTGAAGGCTTGTCACATCACACCCTTTCGCTGAATTGCGGGTGTTTTGGGGGGGAGGGGGCAGAGGGCTGGTTGCCTGTGGAGTCTGGGTTGGGAACAGGGAAGGCAGAGAGAGAGAGACCCTCTCCCTTTCAGACAGACACCTTTGGGCGGGGGACCTGTAGGAAGATGCGTTGAATAGGATTTTCTGTCTTGGATTTGGAGGGTGTGGATGTGAAGGGGAGGAGGGCGAGACAGATGTGGTTCTGTGGGGTGGGGATGTATGCTTGCTCTGCCCCCTCCTCCAGATTTTCTGAGCGAGCCCAGACCGACATAAGGATGCTTTCTGTCCGTGGTTTCTTGATTTCATAGAGATTGCAGGGCAGGGGCTCCCAGAGAGCTGGGGTGATGGGCGGTATTTTCTTCTCTTTAGTGCAACTTGAATGCATCCATCATTTTCTTGTCTTGCCTTTCTTTTAAGGGGTGACGGGGGCAGTTAATGGAATGGAAACTAAATTAGCTACTAAGGGAGATGGGGTGGGGGTGGGGGCATGGGGTTCCCCCTCCAGTAATCCCTTTCCTACCAGGGGCACTTGGACAACTGAGCACCAGCTGGTAAAGAGACAGAGGACCACGCCTCTGTTAGCTGTGAGCTCCGATGGGATGGGAGCAGTATGAACTTGGTGGAAAACCAGTTAATATCTTAGTGGTCCCATATGGTTTGGGATTTTTTTTGGGGGGAAAGGCTAATAGTAAGCATGGAGAGGTTGAAAAAACACCTAATTTTTAGCTATTAGGAGGGGGAAATATTAAAAATATATAAAAATGAACAAGATAGCCTCCTGCCCCTCCCCCATCACACCTTCATATTGAACTGATTCACTTCTCAGAGTGTTGCAGATCCTCCTTGGTGGTTTATGTGATTTCTTAGGGATTTACTCCAGATGTATTCAGACCAGGGTGGGAGTTTGGCCTTTGATGTCTGTAAAAGGTTTTGGGATATGTGGAGGATGAATACCTGTTTTCAGGGCAAACTCCATAGACTGCTTGTAAGGCAAATAGATGGCTGCTTCTTTCCAGTGTATTTACCCCAGCAAACCAGAATGCAGTATTGTTGAAAATCAACTCTTCTAGGAGCTGTAATGGTTTTTGCTCATTCCTTTAGGATACTATAGTGTTTGAAAAAGGCATTTGTGAGCAATGTTGTTCCTAAGCTAAGAGCTGGTGGTGTAGACTGTGGAGGGTGGGGCTGAGCAATGGGAACCCCCAGTTGCATTAGCATTTCCCCCTAGTGCATGTTTTAAGATGCCCCCCCCCATTTCTGATACATTGACTATTAAAAACCTGAAGTGAGGTAGACCCAGAACATGTTGCAGCCAGCCAGGCGAGCACATTTGGTTGGCATATGTGAGATGAAAAGGGAGGGAGGGAGGGAGGGAGGGAAGAGGAAAGCAGACAGAAAAGCAAAAAAAGAAAAAGAAAGAAAAAAAGGGGAAAAAGAACATAGCAGTGAGTGGCAAGGGCTTAGCAAATTTTTCAAATAAGGTAGCAGATTCTGGAGAGTTAGGAAGTGATAGGCTGCGAGAGCCATTTTCACAAGCTTTTCACCAGCTGGGCTGCAGAACACATGGCCAAAACCCTGCCCACCTCACTCCTTACAAGCTTATATTATTTTCTGTGTTTTTTTTTTTACATTTTCCCAGTTTTGATATGTTTATTTATAAATTATTGGCAGATAGATCCTTAAAAAACCAGCCACCAGCTTAGTCACCAGCCACACCCCTTTCCACACCCCTGTGGCTAAATCTTCATAGAATCAGGCATACATCCGGCATATATCCCTACGGATACATTATCGGAGAATCAAGCCTAAAGCCAGCAGTCTTGCACATTTAAATATCTACATCTTTGTACAATTTGAGGTAATACTTTCTCAGACACAAAGAGACACACCCATTCACATATATACTCCTTCATATCCAGCCATATACATATTCATTCATGCAATCCTAACTGCGTACTGGTGCACACATGTGCAAAGCTGTATTCAGACACACCCACGCCTCCATACATCCCCATTCATGCATTTGTGCAGCATTCACACACAAGTGGAAATCACACTTATAAAATATACTGGTACATAACAAAGTTTGGGAACTAGATCCAGCACTATTTTGTACAAGCTTTAAGTGGGAAAAGAAAGGAACATCTTCCATGCTTGCATTCTCTTCCTTATCTTTACAGTCATCATAATAGGAGTGCTAACAAATGACCATGATTTGAAGAGGGTGTTTCAGAAATACAGCCAGGTTTCCCTGTTACCTGGGGAATCCCTCTTTGTATTTTTGCAGAAGAGCAAATAGCAGAAATTCTGCAGTCAACTGTTTTAGGTAATATGTATGTGTGCATCTCCTTTGGTCATGTATATTTGTGTGTACATGTGTCTCTGTGCATCCAAAGTCATATGCATGGCATCTTAGAAGGATGGATACTGAAAAAAAAGAAACTTATTAATGGTGAAAACATAAATGTCCTTCTATCATGCTGTTCTTCCCTCCCTCCTTGCACATATGTGTATAAATTGCATCTATAAATGCAATTTCAGTACATGAAACTCAATATGATACCCTACTGGCCTTGCTGAAGAGCTACCCAGATTTTTGATGCCCCTATAGCCTTTAAAATACATCATTAAACTGTTGAAAGTGTGGCAGGTGGAAAGTAGAATCCTGGAGTTTGGGAACACCTGCACTCTGTACTTGAAAATCTACTCTAGATGTACCTCATGAACTAATAGCTATGCAAATCCTGCATTGTACTATGTATTGGAACAGACAGATAGTATGTGTGTTATGGGAGGGAGTTCTAGCTTTGCCCTCTTGTAGGAGAGATGATCCTATTTTCAGTCTTGGCTCTTCTAATTAAATGCACTGTTGCTGGAGAGAAAGAGAGGTTTTGAACCCTGCCACACCCATGAAATCAAAAGAAGGGAGGAGGTGGAAAAAGAGAGCCTGCATTTCTTTCCTCCTCCACATGAGCAGCATAGATAAGCAGAACTGTATCTATAGAGATGCTATTTAATGCAAGTGGAGAGGAAGGCAAGTGTTGAGGGACCGTTCTGGCAATTACCAGCCAGATAGTGCAGGGCCTTTTAACACCAGGAGGCAGAAAGGCGGAGGGGAAAATGGAAAGAAAGAGAGGTGTAAGCACTGTTTGAGGATACATTATTGCTTCTGGGTATCTCAGACCTCATTGGAAAATATCTTAATTATGCTGTATAATGCAGAGACTGCAAACTTGCAAGGTGTGTTTGTATCTTTAAAAGCTGGGTCAGGTGGGGGAGGGGCAGGAGGGAAGAAATTTTCCTTCTGTGGGGAAAGCATCTGAGGCTGATCTACAGCTGGTTTAAAGCAATAGCTTCACAATAAAGTCAGCTGAGCTGTATCAATTGACACCAGCTGTGATCACACCCCAGTTTGTCTTCTAAAGGGTGACATGTCACGTGGCATTTTCAAAACTTTTAATTTTAGTCCAAGATTGTGGCTCAAGGTTCTTGAGGCCTCACACCCTTTTCCTTGGATTTCCCTTTTCTCTTCAATCAAGTCTCCACAGCAGGGAAATGTTCACTTTCAGCTCTTCCCTCACAATTGTCTCAACTCCTTGGTTATTATAGGAATAGATTTTTTCATAAATCACTTAACGTAGCCCACTTCCCCATTGTACATATAAGCTTCCCAAGGGGCTTAATTGAAAGCAGTTCTTCCAGCATGGAAAACAGAAGTATAATGGTTAGTGGAAAATGCCAATTTCTGTTTGTCAGCACAACTTTCCCATCAGTTGTGAAAACTGCAGGCAATTTGTTTTTTAAAGCACCCACAACGTGGTAAGGGATTCTCAAGAAGCTAAAGTCAAAAGAGGGTGTCAGTTTTCCTCAGCTGGGCAGGTATTTGAGAGTGCACAAGAAGCAGTCTTTCAAATGAGAAGGAAGGAAGGTTTTCCTATGCCAGTGTAAGATTTTTCAGAACTCACAAGTCCACCTTGCTCTCCTTCAGAGTGAAAATATGGGCCAGTACCACACAAAGAGAATATGTACAAACTGAAGCTCCTCCCCCCCCCACATGTAAAGATGCAATGATGATGTGATTGCCTTTGGGACAATGATCATAGACGATGAGCTCAGAGTATGTCCTCTTGGCTGCAGCCATCTTATGCTGTCAGCTCATCTTTTCCCCCCACACCAGATTTGTTGAACACGAAGACTTCTGCCATCTTCTTTGGCTGTAACAGTCACAGTTTCCCCCATAACCATGGGGGACAGGACTCCACTGGTCAAATGCCACTGGTCACACACTTTCAGGCTGTCTATGCCTTCTCTGTGCTGAAGGGTGTGGATGACCCCCAGACTCTGCTTGTCCTTTTTTCCCCTACAAAAATGTGTATTATTATTGTTTTTCTCAGTCCAGCTGTGGGCTCGTGTGGTAACCAGCAGGTGCCATGTGTTTCACACTGTGCAGCCCAGGTACCTTCCCTGCCCCATGGTGTAATGTTTATGCACAAATAAAGGGTTTGTTTTTATACCACACCATGGAGGCATAAATTATCAAAAGGTTAGAGGGGTTTTTCTCTCTGCTCCCTTGATCTGTGAATTTATCACCTGCAGGCTCCCTCATGCTGCTATGGGATAGTGTGTGTCAGCTGATCGTGATGAATGGGTTCACATACCTTCAGGGTGGACAGTTTTTCAAAACAGGTATTTGCATATCTGCCTGACTCCTGATAATGGTGGCCTAATTTTCAGAACTGCAGTGACTCACAAATACGTTGACTGTGTGTATGTAGAG